ACCAATGTAGACGTATCGGCCTTCTTCGAGTTCGAACATACAATAGACAACGACGTAGTCGGGCAACTCGACTTACATCTTCAAGTGCGTGGAACCCTCGATGCGATAATCAAGCACCGGAACATTCCACCAGGTCTCAGGCCTTGTTCCTTGCTGAATCTCATTTTAGGGTCTCCTCTCTGACATCCTTGAAGTCTCTTAATTTCAACGCTTGTAAGCAGTTTCCATTTCCCACCAGGTTTTCCCTGTGAGTTTGTGGTACCTTCCGCAATCGCTCCACGCGGTTTTTCCGTCATAGGGCCACAGACGTAGCTGTAGCTATTTCCACCCGCCGGGCTATACCATCGATCAACAGAAGGGGTTTTCACCGGGGCTGCGATGTCGTGTTTAGGGCCATCGAAGTCCAAAACTAGGACTCCGGTTTTCGTCTGCGGAGCGCACTTCATATGTACTGCATATGTAGCACTGAAGTAAGTGCACCGCTCTGTTCCTTCTCGATGCGTCGGCACTATCAGTGGATGGGTAATCCCTGCCTGATCCCCTTTCTGCCAGCACACCTTGCCTGTCACAAACTGCTCACTTCGTGCCAGCATATCTGGACCGAATTGAGTGAAAGATGTTCGAAAGGCATAGTATTTGAAGGTGCAGTTCGGTTTGGAGTGGACACGACACTTTCCACTACTCCTTCCATACCCTCCCACACAGCTCGTTCTCCTCTGGACACCCAATTTATTTTTTCCGCTCTACCGACTATGATTGCACCGGCCAGCACGCTGATCAGCGCTAAGGTTCGATGTGTACGCCGCAGAGTCGCGAGTAGTATTGCCCATGCTCCTTTTTCAACTTTTTCATCCTCCATGACTATGGCTCCAGGCACAAGGCTCAGCAGACCAGCATGTGAGTAGAAATACGCCTCTGCAGTGCATGCTGTGGCCCACCCAACTTGTCCATTTTCGTGAGTGATGAGGAAGTTCTTGCCTGTTTGAGGTAAGGGAGAAGGCTTCATCAGTCTCTTCAAACTTCCATCAGGGCAATTGCATGATGTTTTGTGGAATCCGTTTGCACACTTGCATGTTTCACCCGCGAAAACACAACGAAAGTCTTTGGCATCCTGTAATGTTGCGCATTGCAGTTGTCCAGCGGTATTCGGTATAAGTTGTCCCTTGTGTACTGGTTTTATGATTCGGTATTGTTTTCGTTCTCCATGAAGGTCGAGCTCAGGACTGGTAGCTGAGGTGTGGTGGTTCCGATAAGAGTGAGCCGCAGATGGTCCCATAAGTGTGTGTATCCAGGAGTGAATGATATTGTTTGTGTCGTTGAGTGGACTACTTGTTGCCGGTTCTTTGAGAAAGACGTACCATGAGAGCTTTATTCGACTCTAACCATAGCAATAAGTGCTGTTTATATACAGCATCCTAGCGTCCAGGAACCAAGAAGACTCTTCAATTATCACCCTTTCTCTAGAGGACTCAGAGAACGTTTGATTTTGTTGAGACTGGTGACTGAGAGTTTCCCTCGACATTGCGAGTGATTAAGCGTTTGCTCCCAGATATTGCGAATGATTAAGAGACGTTTTCCTTCTAAGAATGCTAAAAATTCTGTGGTAACACAGAAACTCCCACAAGCGAGAAGACTAGTAATTCTTTTTCAAGGTCATAGCTGTAAACATAATTTGGCAGGAGCGTGACGCAAGAGTTAGAAGAAACAAGATTGAAATCAATAGGAATACATTCTTCAAGGTTAAGAAATTGAGAAAAAAGGACTGAAGGGAGGAAGTAATATTTGACACGAAATTTGAAACATTCGTCATCAAATCTGCAAAAAATGACATGTTTGTAGAGAAGTTCTTCTTTCGCTGCCAACACTGAGTCCATTGTTGAGGAAATCATCTTTCACGTAGGCTAGTGTTCCTCTGATCGTGATGTTGGCAGAGCCTCCCGGGCAAGACGCAGAGCAAGAGACGAGGACGTGATTCGTAGAGAATTGAAAAACGAGTGCGTTGACATGGGTGGTTGGGGTGCATTTCGCCATCTGAGTTTGATCTTGACAGTTGATGAAAGCGGTGGTTTCTCCTTCATTGCTTGTACAGGCGAGGTCGAGTAGTGCTCCTGTGGCGCAACTGTAACAGCCAGTCAGGTCGCCCGTTTGAAACGTACAGGAGCTTTTATGCTGTTGTGCAACAAGTTTCAAATTATCCATCACGGTGTGGAGTTGAAGGACAGAGCCGACATTGAGTTTTGCAAACTGACGATATTACAAAACTGATCAATTCCATAATATCGTTACCTATCGATTCACGCTGTGCCTTTTGGACTGATCTGTTCGCCATTCCTCTTACCGATTTTTTCCAGTAATATCGTTACCTATCGATTCACGCTGTGGCTTTTGGAATGATCTGTTCGCCATTCCTCTTATTGAAACGATTCATCATCACATGACAACGACGGCAACGCCACTTTCCCATATCCTTCTGCGTAACACCTACGTCGACAACGTCTTCCATGGTGTCAACAGTGTGACTGAAGGAAAACAATTCTACATCGAATCAAAGACCCTCTTTCGTCAAGCAGGGATGAATTTGCAAGCAATTCAGAAGAAATTAACGACTTCTTCGAAAAAGAAGAAAGGTGAAACGGTTCTGAAATGCAGAAGCTTCTTGGAATCCAATGGAACATACGCAAGGACCAGCTGTCAATAGCGTTGCCTCAAAAACCGTCGAACAACGGCATATGGACCAAAAGGAAAATTTTGAAAGAAGTCGCCAGCGTCTTCGATTGTTAGGCTTCCTGACTCCATCCACCCTCATTGGAAAGCTGTTTCTCCAATCACTGTGGAAAGTCGATATCGGATGGGACGACACACTCCCAGTACAACAAAATGATCAATGGCAACTAATCACCCACCAATCAATGGACAAATTTTTCACTGCAACTTGATCGGCTCATCGTCCACCCAGAAAGTCTTACTACGTCAGAC